AGTTGAGGAAGTTAACACTCCATTTGCTCAACTGTTTATTCCATAACTTCTTTCATCTTAATTATCTCGGGATATGAATGTTTGAATGTCTATCTCATTGCATTTCCATTTCCCATTGTTTTCTCAGTTGGTTGCCCGAGCACGTTACGTTACTTGCTCGTTTTAGTGGAGAGCCATCGCCGGTGAAATCTACGGTTACAAAAGCAGTTGCAGAGTTTCGACGTACTCATGCTGACACATGGAATATTCAGAAAGATTCATTTACCGAAGAGCAACTTGAGGTGCGTGTGCTGGCCACTCTAACCCGTACGTTCAAATATTTATTCCTTAGTTCTGGTTCTCAAACTTCTTCAATTGATATGTGCAGGTTCTGGCTGATACGTCGTCTTCATCGTCGTATTTCGCATGATTCACCATGTAATTCGTAGGAAAGAGAAACGACATAGTTGTACAACAAATTGGTTGAAAGCTAGCAGTAAACTGTAATTTTTTTTTTATAATTTTTTTTTACCATAATTTTATATTAATAAGCCTTGCATTATCATTGTTAATCACTGCCAACGAAATTTAGTTTAGTCTCTTCCCTAGAGACCATCCAAATAATTAGATCATCAGATTGTAAATCAGACCGGTTGATTTCCACCCTCGGACTCCTCTCCGTTTTCGTCCGATGGCTTCTTCAGCTTGATGATGTTTCCCGTCATTGCCGGTGCGACCAGGCACTCAACCGCGCCATCTGTTCCGTTGACGGAAATGATTGGTGAAGTTAGACAACATTTTTTAAGAATTAACCTATCGCCTTTGATCTTCTTTCTTCTTTTTCCTTCTTTTCGTCGACGTCATAAACCGCCCCTTCCTTCTCAGCGCTCGTCTTCTCAAATCAAGAGTGAGATTGACTGATGAACTCAGAGTGCTTGTTAATCAAATCCATGAGACGGTGCTCCTCAAGGTACTCAAGCTGTTCTTCCTTAAGGCGAAGAGTGATCTTCTTACCCCTACTGAGAACTCACCAGTGGTGTCTCTGGTTCGCCTCCAGCCTGTGGCTGCCGCATTTACCGCTCATCGTTGTCGTCGTACTTGATTGTAACACCGACCTTATCGGCGACAAGATAAGCAGAGTAGAACCCGACACGAAACCCAATCATGCTAACATTTGCCCCGACAGCCAAGAAGGTTGTTCACCAAATCTGACGTCATAAATTAAGATTAAAAACCATTAAAAACATCCCCAATTCGCGTTGTGTACAAGGGTTTTGGGGGAGATGCAGCCAGGTTTGGAGAAGCTGGAGGTCGAAGATGAGGCCGTCGTAGAAACGAAAAGGAGGGTGTGAGGAGAATTAAGGGTCCTTAAAAGCACTTGTTTCGCATGATTCATCTTCTTCATCTTCATATTTCGCATGATCCACCATGCAACTCACAGTAAATTATAATTTTCTTTTACCAATATGATCTTTTACCATAATTTATATAATGACCTTATTTACATTATCGTTGTTTGTCACTGCCACAGGAAATTTTAAATTTATTTGAACCTATCTTTTAAATTTCCCTCACACACTTGTATAACTTATGTATTAAACCATCTGATTCATTAGATCATCAGATGGTAAATCCCACAAGAGACTATCCGAGTTGAATATGTTGGATGATCCGTTTCTCAGCTCCTTTCTACCCTCGGACTCCTCTCCGTTTTCTTCCACCTCCAGTTTGTCAGGCAACTGGCCCTGCTGGTCCGCCACCCCCGTGCACGTACTTCCGGTACACAGACTCTGGCTCCATGGCGATCCATCGCCTTCGTTCCCAAACGTGGAATGGCCGTACTGAAATCCAGACATGGGCAAGGGGAAATCACTGCAGTTCCCTGTGAAGTTCGCAGATGTTGCTCCTATAGTGTCCATCCAAGATTTGTTTGAGGTTAACATGTCCGGTTGTTCTTGCATTGCCCTGGATAAACCAATCTTGATTTTTTTGACGGTGTCGTCTTTTTCTTCCTGCTTGCTGTTAATGTACGTGGCCGTGCTGTTTCCCGGCGTTGGATTGGTATGGTGGAAGTCGATGCGCTTCTTCATGAGGAGGTGGAGCATTTCGTCCTTAAAGCAGCCGAGGGCTGCTTCTGCGAGGTGAGTCACCTGCGGCGGTGCTAGTGTGGTTGCAATCTCGGCCATGAGGTGCGAAAAGGGTTTGTGTGTGACGGGGTCGATCCCCATGCCCGATAGCTTCTTCTTCAGCTTGGTGTTCCAGTGATTTTTCACGTCGTTGTCGGTGCGGCCAGGCAGTTGCGCTGCAATCAACGACCATCTGTGACATTTATGAGAGCTGTTATAGGCATTAAAAAAAAAAATTATCTTGCACTTAATTAATTATAGTGAAAAGAATAAACAAGGAATGCAAGATGAGTATATTTTAGAGTATTAATAACAATTTCTTTTGGATCATATAATAGAAAAAGATTAATGTATTACCGATTGCCAACAACGGAGTGGTACTTGACAATTGTTTGCTCTTCCGCGTCGGAGAATTGGCCGTGCTTAAGGTCCGGGCGAAGGTAGTTCGTCCAACGTAGCCTGCAGCTCTTCCCACATCTTTGTAAACCTTGTAAACCAAATGAAGAACGTTTTAGGAGAGAGAGAGAGAGAGAGAGAGAGAGAGAGAGAGAGATTTGCAGTTGTAATTACCAGCGTTCTTGGGGATGAGGCGCCAATTACGAGTGCCATGTTGGGCAATGTAGGAAGAGAGCTTGTTATCTTCTTCAGGAGTCCACTGCCCCCTTTTCACGTTGTCCTTCTCACAGCATGGAATCCGACCCATCTCTCTCTCGCTCTATCTGTCTACTTTTGTAAAAACTCTCACTCCTTAACTTAAAAAAACGCCACTAATAATATTCTTCGTGCGGGAGATTTTCTGAAAAGAAAATGCCGACAATTTTCAGAAAAGAAAAGAAAAGAAAATCAAGAGAAGGGTTTGAGAGTTGGAGAGCAGTGGAAGTAAACTAAGGTAATTAAGAGAGAGCTAAAACTTTTTTCCTTGATTTTGTTTGCTAAAAACAAAGAAATGAAAACATTTTCTTGGGGAGTTTTCTTTTTTTTCTAAATTTCTAATATTTGTGAGAGAGTCTACTTCTTACAGGTTTACCTATTCTCTAATATTCTTTATATATAATGAATGAAAGGTTCAAGTGTATGGCCATGGCCTATTAGGGTTACTGGAAAAAATCCCATCAAAGGCGCATGATTTCATTAAAAAATTCAACGCCATTGAGCGTGTGAGACTTTGGCCGGTAGATCACCCACAAGACACCCGGTCAATCCTCTCTCTCTCTCTCTCTCTCTCTCGTTGACTGCAAGCACGCATGCATGCTGCTTCATCAATGATTTCTGGGTGGCTTTCTGCTCTGCTCACACAAAACCTAGTTAAGGTGTTGCTCGTGCGGGTCACGTGTGCATTTCCTACTAGTTTCTTCCAAGCTGTGCGTTCATGTTGTCTGCAACCGTGTGGCTTTGTCTGCAGGAGTTGTCCAAGAATGTTGCGTACGGTTGCTAAATCATGCAATATATGGTTATGGATGACTTCATGTACTTGTTCCTAAAGCTGATGGAGCTACCAAGATCCTACCTAAATTGATAATTAAATAACCCCTCATAACAAATAAGTTGTTTAGTTTTGATGAATATGTATAGATCATGTAAGCCTCATGTTTACCATTTGTTATAATATTGGGAAATGCTCTCAAATTTTGAAATAGTAACAACGTTCTCAAATAGAACTATTACCGATTTACTGTAGTAAATTAATCTACAACAATGACAACATATGATACTTTCTCTATGCTATGAAATGGATAATTTTGACAACATATTGAGATGCTATCGATGTAATGAAACTATTTGCTACAGTAACATTGTTTTTTGAGATCTACTACTACAATAATATTGCAATTTGAGAGCATTGTCCTATATAATATTGGCATTATAGCCAAAATGGCCTATGAGATTAACATAACTTCCCACTTTAGTTCATGACAATGAAAATTGATAGAAGTGGTCCCTGAGTCTGTCCATTGTAAATCATTTTAGCCATTCCATGAAAAAAGAGGGTTGGTTTGACAAAAATACTCTTGAAAAGGTGGTTACGTGGTCGCTTATGTGATAATTAACGAGGATATTGATAGATTTTTCATAGAATGACCACAATAATTTATGGTAGACAAATTCAGGGACTACTTTTATCAATTTTCATTGTCAGGGATCAAAATGATGAGTTATGCCAATTTTAAGATCATTTTGGCTAAAATGCCTATAATATTCGTGTCCCAAATCTCAAAAGTTTCAAAAAAAATATATATATATACACACCACAAATTGGGCACATGTTTTAATTATTTAATTTTTTGGTTTATATTGTTTCTACCCTATTTATGGAAGAGAATATGTCAAACTGATAAATTGGGGTAAGAAAGAGGGAACAATTAAGTTTGCAGCGTTTAGCTCTGATTTAAGATATAGGAGTTTGAGGTTTTGGTTTGTGACCTATGAGTAGAGGTGGAAAATCTATCCATTAGGTTGTTAATGGATAATCGTTATGACTTGTTTAGTGTGATTCCATCATAATATGGCGTTGAGATTGGTAGTGGCGGAGATGGTGTAATGGGAAATCAAACTTAGTATGGGTCTTAATGGTAACCAATAACAACCCTATGGTGTAATGGGAAATCAAACTTAATATATACCTGCATTTGACAAGCACTTCATAAAATTTTGAGTAGTTAAGGGGTTGATGATATACAAATGGTGAAATCTGCAAGACACGAAATCTGCATTTTTACAGTCTTTCTTCTACTTCGATTCTTCACAGGATTCGTTTTCGATTGAGCGGTATTAACTCGTTGAAGTTGCTAATGTTTGCAATGTGCTTCATCTAGTCTGTGTGTCAGGTAGAACTACTATATAACCAAGATATACAAGCTGTATTTGCTCAGTGGAATCTTATTTTGTAACTTGCAATGGAAACAATAAAATTTTGTAATATTTTGAAGGAAATTACAATATTCTCTGTACTTGCCTAGCTAAGTTTGGCACTAATAAGTCCTTCAACTGATCCAATCACACCCACAACCGTCACAAGAAAGCAAACTAAACTAAATGTCCTTAGAACAATCCATTTTTTTGTCCAAGCCCCGATTTTCTTTTGTACAAAGTACATTTCAACAGGGAAATATATAGTCAAAGGCCAAAAGTTCAAGGCCCCTAAAACTCCCAAAACCTGGTTGAAGTAAGGAAATATCATCGCAATTGCGGTAGTTGACACAACGTAAACAGTTCGGAAACACAGCCTGAAGGGATTCACTTGAAATCTTGGCAACAATGGGATTTTGATGGAGTAAAAGTTGTTCACAAATCCGCTGTTTGGGTATTTCTTCCTAGACCATCTCTCAGCAACTGCAAATACTGGTTGACTGTAGACCTGCAAGATGAAGCATGTGAAACGTACGTGATTACAAGAGATAGAAAAATGGTCGAATTTGAAAATTTTGATATTATTTTATAGTACCTGATATCCTCCCACCAAATGAAGAACAATGCAAGCATTAGCAAAATCAATGAGCCAGTAGGGTTCGTAGAATCCGAATCCTGTCAAGAGGTTCCCGGGCGTGTCATTCCCAAAGGCGGCGTATCCAAAGCATCCACAGCAGAGGTAGAAGAAGGTTGTGACAAATATGGCAATCATTGAGGCCTTCTTCATTGTCTGATTTTCTGGTGGAGGGGACTTCAAAGTATCCTTTGATTTAACAGATATCACACAATCCAACGTTAATTAGCTTCTAAAGTTAATCAGAATTTCGTACGGTTTTAATGAGATTTCTTTTTTGCTTGTGAAAAGATTATAGGAGACCAACCTGAATTTCAAGAAGAATAATAGAGTACGGATAGGCAAAAGCGATGTCTCCAAGTGCTTGGAAGACTAACCATAATTTATCAGCAACATTAGAGGTTGGCACTCCTGCCAGGCTTCCTTGAATCCTCCCATTTTCTGCAATTAATAAACGCATTTTAAACATCAAACTTCCGGGTCTTCATTTATTTCTTATTCTGAAGAATGAGGCAGGAAGGTTTGGTGAAAAGAAGCTGGAAAATCCGAAGCGAATACCTATTGATTTCGCAATGCCGAGGCCAAGTCCAATGAAAGAGTAGGCAAACGACATGATTGCTGCAACAACTGATAGCCATTTCATGTTGTGGAAATCTGGTATTTGTGACACTACAATCTGGACAAGTCCAAATAGCATCATGTACAAACCAGTCCCATATTGACAGGAAGCTTCATGCCCTTCTTTGTGATAGCAGTTTGATCTCTGAATGGCTCTACAAAATTGAATACAAAATTTAATACATATCGTCTTTCCGAAGTTTAATTCTGTTGGAAAGAAGTGTAAGCATCATTATACGAGTATAATCTAGGAGAATATGCATAAACAAAACTCGTTACAAACTCTTCATTAAAAAAAAAAAAAAAAAATAGAAGCGGGGAACAAACAATAAGTCATACACACAACATCGTTTAGTGGTCATCCTTCCAGTACTATTTTGATTAAAATTTTATAACCGGTTCTATTTGTGCATGTTTTCCAAGAATCGTAGTGAAGGTTAATCTTATTCACTAATATATGAGAGAGTTAGAAATTAAAAAGCATAAACTAAAACTCCCAACGCACAAATACTAGTAATGTTCTTATAGCAGGGGCTGAAAAAAAAAACCAAGCCACACGAAAAGCACAGTATTCAGTAGGGAAGCTAGTTAGTACCTCATACTGGTTGCAGTGGTAATCACATAAGCAATACCAGTTCCAAACATGCTGAAATATAGAAGGAAACCACAAAACCAGGTCTTTTTTCTACCTGAACTATCACTGAACTAAATCAGAATCCCACGTTAAAAGAATCCAATCTATTAGAAACATATCCTAAACAGAAGACTATGCAGAACAAAAAGAGCCAAAAGGGGAGGTTTTCGGTGTTTTACTATTGAGATTCACTTCCACAGCATTCATGTAAGATTTGTTTCGAGTTCCGGTGATAGGATCAGGAGACCGGTAACAATCCGAAAGGAGGAAGGAAGAAATGTAGGTGACAATCGCAAAACTAAGCAAACAAACTGGCCCTCCAATCCAGCCTAGCTGTGCAGTACTCCATGCCAAAGACAGAACTCCAGATCCAATCACAGCAGTGATGATATGAGCCACACAACTCCATAGAGTTCCTGATTAATTGATGAGTTTCTCACCAGAAACTACGTAAGTTCAAGACCAAATGATACAGTAAACTCGAGACAGCGATTTTCACGCTCCAAATTTAGCTGTATGCACTCCATACTGAATATTATATAATTTTTTTCACATCCACATAACGAGTGCATGAAGCTAAAAGATGAGTATTAAAACCGCTAGCTTACGCTTAATTAAATTAGACTAGGATAAGTTTACCAGTTCGTAGTGGATGGCCATCATCATCACAGGAACCAGTATTAGCTAACTCAAGAGGGTGTTGGACTGCCATGCTTATCAGACTAGCAGTAGGAACCTAGGAACTTCCTAATTTCCAAACTTTAATTTACACTTGGATTTTCCATTTCTCTCTCTAATTCATACTTGGCTTTACTATATGTAGCTTCGCGAGCACCGCTTTGCTCCTTAATTTAAGGATTCATCTTCTTTCTTACATGTAAATCACAAACTAACACACATACTAAGGTCTACTTGTTAAAAGTACAAAAAAGAAAAAATTTATACGATATGTCAAACTATGATTTGTCTGTAAAATAAAACAGAGACTTTTACGTAAAAGATTTCTCTAAGCCTACTTTAATGTGTAAAAAGAACCAGTGATTCCCACGGAAAAGATTTCTCATACTTTGAGAAATGGATAATGTATCTTATTTGAACCTTCTCAATAATTGGACAAATGGGCTTATCAATCATGTCATGTACTCAAGTTTACCTGTTAAAAACACAAAAAAAAAAATTTATACGATGTGTCAAATTATGATTTGTCAGTAAAATAAAACATAGACTTTCACGTAAAAGATTTCTCTAAGCCTATTTTGATGTGTAAAAAGACACAGAGATTTCTACGGAAAAGATTTCTCATACTTTGAGAAATGAATAATGTATCTTTTTTGAACCTTCTCAATAATTGGACAAATGGACTATCAATCATGTCATGTTCATCTTTCACCCGTTTTCTAACTTTGGTCCTCACTTTATTTTTAATTGATTTCTAGTACATGACTTTTCCTTTTCAGAATCGGAGGTGAGTGGGTTGGTGGTCAGTCCCCTTCTTAAGCAATCAAATTGCTTGGAAAGTATGTGGTCTTTCTCAATTGACGGCACTCCGATTATACATGTGGCCAATGAACCAAAAAAGGCTGTGATATGTTCTTCAAAAAAAAAAAAAAAAAAAAAAAAAAGGGGCTGTGATATAGTAATTTTCATCTGAAAACTTTCTGTTGTTGCTATGATACTTCGAAATATTGGATATTCCGCTACTAAAATTCTCATTTGGGTTTCATCGTCTTTGTCAAGTAAGCAAACCATTGACAGCCTTCCTCACCTTCTTCCTCACAGGCATCAGCTCCATCCGACAACCAAATGGAGCTACGATGAAGTCAATTTAACACTCGCGATTGCTGCATACGCGAATCGGCGCACACAACATGTACAAATCGATACCGAATTATTGATTAACGAGTAGATGTGTCTGCATTAGTAGATAGAAGTCATTAGCGTGCGGACGACTACTTGTAGCAAAACCCTAACCCACATGTAATAACTTTTTTCTCATGTCAAGTTGATATGTGTTTGCATCAACTTTATTATGTCAAGCTTGTCCTCACATTGCAGAAATTGCTGGGTCGGTTACAGAGGCTCCAAATTATTGTCAATTTCAAGTCTGCCTTGGCAATTGGCATCTCTTGCTTTGTTGCTTTGTGCTATGTTTCGTCACTATATCATTTCATGTCTATATCCCTATGCTCTAGTCGGCGAGAAAATTTGAGTAGAGATGCACGATCACCCGATATGAGAGTTGTTCTAATCAGATATCTCTGCCGAATATTTTCTCCTAATTGGCTCAAGTTGGAATTTAGCTTTCTAGATTTTGATCTACACCATTCTAATCCACCTTCTGCTTAAAAACCCTTTTGTTGCCTCTGATACAAATGATTTTTGAATGTGCCGGCCGGGAACACGCCCTCATACACCAAGATTCATAATACAAATGATTGGATACTTAAAAAAAAATAAATCTCTAACTACTTGTATTATGACATTTAGTGAACAAGACCGTAGCCGGACACTCTGACAAACTACTCCATTAGAGGCCCTAGAAAGATTGTGGGTGTATTGGCCCAGATATACAAGCATAGCCTGGCCCATCGGAAAAGGAGTTTATGGTCCAGTATGCTAAGCAACTTGACCCAATTTCTTTTTCCAAAAAATGGGATCATAAACCCTAGTGACTCATATGACTTTGGGATGGGATCACTCTTTTTTTAATCTTTTCGCACAACCTTGTTTAACTATGTTGTTTTTATTTAATTTATTAAATCTAATAATCAGATTAAAGAGCGGTGTGTAAGACGCTAAAAAGACTGTGAAAATCATCTCTTTTGATTTTCATCCAAACTTAGAGAGAATTTTTGCGTATGACTATAGCATGTGGCCTCTCTCAATCGATCAATCTATGGGCACGAACGAGAGAAAAGAAAATACAAACGATCTTTTATCGTGTGTGATCATACAGTCATGTGATCTAACAAGTAGACACTAGAATTTTTCCAAACACATTATTATGTCTGACCGCACAGTCATGTGATCTGACAAGCAGACGTTAAAATTTTTCCAAACTCAAGACTTAAACAAAGCATGCAAACAATCATTCAATCAAATCGCGTTGGATTTTGCAAGACAAGTCCCACAAGAAAAAAAAAAAACAAAAACAAAAACAAAGAAGAGAAAAAAAAGAAGCAATAAGTAGTTTAAGGTTTGGCAAGGACTTACTTGATGCTGCTAGCAGCTGTAATAACGTAAGCGATTCCGCAGCCATACAAGCTCTCGTGTACAAATATTGCACACACTGTTTGACTCATCTCTCCTAAAATTCAACCATACACACGTCAAAATTAATACTCTGTATACAATATACACATAAATTATGTTAGACTCAGTTGGTCCATTTACACTCCTTCCGGTTGATCCTATACTTCGGTAATTGATATTTGAAGAAAGAAAAGGAAAACCGAAAAGAAATAGGTGCAAATGGACAATTGGATGCTAGAAAGATCACAAAAATAAAAGTTCGTATATTTATAGAGGAGGGTTAGAAATGCTAACCTAGGTAGACCTTGACAGCTTCCAAGTAGGATCCGACTCTCGTCGGGCTATCGGAATCCGGGAATCGGTAGCAGTCGGAGAGGAGGTTGTTGGAAAGAATGGTGACTGAAGCAAAGACAATCATAAGCAATGGACCTGCAACCCACCCCAGCTGAGCCACACTCCATGCAAGAGATAATACTCCTGCTCCTATCACACCTGTTATAATATGTGCTATTGCAGTCCATATGGTACCTATACATAACAAAAGTTCATATCAAAATTAACGCCTCCATATCATTATATTTTGGTTTAACTTTGACGGCACAAGCGAAATTTATTAAAGAAGCAAAAGAAAAATATCTCGATAGCTAAGATAGGGGGTCAACAACCAAAACCCCTAAGAAAACTATAAAAATGCTAATTCGGATGCTAAGACAAGTTGGATGAGTAGAGAGAAATAGACTTGAAAACACTGAGGGATGCTACCATGGCATCCTAAATCAATAATACAATTACATGAATAAGACATTCAAAGTTTGGAGAAGCATCATATTTGTTGAGGGAGGAATTAGGACCACTAGGGGTTGGTTGTTCGCACACTCCCCACAACTGCCAATCAAACCTACCCAAAAACTACAACCCTACCCAACTGATTAGATAGAACCACCTTAGCTTGTCATGTGAAAGCTCTACAAGCTCTAAACATGGTACCTCTGAGTCCTCTGGTTTCCAATTTCTTTTGTTTCCTATCAACGACTATCGTCCATGAAATTTCTAACTCATGATCTACTCCAACAAAACAAAGATCGAGTGTCGCTAAACCAAACGGTCACGTGCAACTTGTCAACAAATCAATTACTTCCCTTGGTTCTAACAGATTTCCTTGCAGCAAAATCTAGTTACATATGCATAAAATTCAAAAAAAATTGTCAGAAATATTGGGATGAGTTGAGATTACCTGTTCTTTTGAGAGATTGGAGCAACGGTAGCTGCTGATCTTCTGCTGCTTCATCACCACCCATCTCTCTCCCCCCTCAAAACTTTGACAGATGAAAACTTGTCAAAATAATGGAGGCACAAATAAACAGATTGGCATGCACCTCAAAAACAAGGTATAAATTTTGCATGTCTCAGAAAAGTAGGCGGATATATATGTCATCTTTCTGCAGTAAGCAGATCAAACAAGTCAAAGAAATGAAAGAAACAATTAGAACCGTTTTTCTTTTCTGGTGAGGCAAAAAGTTTGACAGTTTGGTACGAACTAAACAAGTTGTTGGCATCCAATTCCTTCGTGCTACGATTATTCATCTATATTTTGAAAAATAATTTATGTATACATTTTTTCTCTCTGGGCACCTATACTTATCTCTGGTCTTAGTAGTAAAAAAGAAAAAAAGAACGACCTGAAATCATTTCGCATTACTCTTTTAAAAAATTAATATCCTCTCACAAAACTTGCTTTTATTAAAAAACTCTTAGACAACTTTTTATTATCAAGGGCATTTTTCTTATTATTAAGGATATTTTTATTAATTTAAAATCCTTGTAAAGTGTGACTCCTTATTTATTTTTTGTCGAAATAAAAAATATTGATGATAATAGAAGAAAATTGTCTAAATGTTTTTAGATGAAGAAAAGTTTTGTGAATTTGTTAAATTTCTAAAACTAAGAGGGATGGTGTTTTCTAGCCACTTCCATTTCACAACCCAAAGTCAAATAATATATTCAAAGCCGTTATGTACAAGCAATAAGAAAATTAAAGATGTATCTACAAAATATTCAAAGCCGTTATGTACAAGCAATAAGAAAATTAAAGATATATCTACAAAATGCCAAAACTCAAAAGGGCAATCTCTGGTAACAAATAATTCGACGTCAGAGAATCAACAATCATTGTACGGCTCCGATTAAGCTTTGAATCAACTAACAATCGGAGCTTTAAGCTTTTGAATTAAAACTAATATAATCTTGAAGTTAATATATATTTGATCATCACAGGTTCTCAAAATTAGAACGTTAGTAGAGCAAAACTTTTAGCCAAAATAGTATTTGAAATTAGCATAACTCCACACTTTGATCTCTCACAATGATAATTGATAAAAGTGATGCTTGAATTTATCTATCTTAAATTATTGTGATCATTCAGTGAAAAATTTGTTAGTATCCTTATTAAGTGAAGGAGTTAGTTTGATAAAAATACCTTTAAAGGTGATCACGTGATCATTTACTTGATCACTTGTATCAATTTTCATAGAAAAACAAAAATAATTCACCATTGACAAACTCAAAAACCACTTGTATTAATTTTCATTACCATGAAATAAAGTGAAAATTTACGCCAATCTTAAGAACTATTTTAGCTAAAAAGTATTTTATCAAGTGCAACATAACATAATTCTCTCCACCCAAAAAAAAAAAGCAAAATGTAGAGGAAAAAATAGCTTTTCTATGTAACAATATAACATACATGATTTACCACTCTCCCCCTCATCTTATTCATGGTTTACATCCAAGCCAACATAACACCTCCCCACCATAATATTCATTGAACAAAACAAGCAGAAGTTGGCCGAAAACTGGCATATATGTACAAACAGATCGATGACCCCAAATCATTTGCAGATCCAATCCAGGTTAAGAATCAACAGCTTCATTGACTTATGTATAAACTACATATCATCTCCAATATCGCACCTCATTCTGCACGTAGACGTCCTCAAACAGGCTCATCTTCTATCTATAGTCATCTTCAACAGCTTCCATGTTTACGTTTTTACTTGCGTTTCCCCTACAAGATTACACAGAAATATTTAAAGGACAAACTTTCCGTACTCTTTCAGTAGACATCATGTTGTCGATACAGTATGAATAATTCAATTTACACAAAAGAGGGCGAGGTCTCCAGCAGCTAGAAGGGGGGCGTACCTGCTGGAGGGGAAGGATCTACGTGAACAAAGAAACTTGCAGCAACTATCAGATAACAAAGAATAAGCATCAACCCTTTGAAGTAATTAGAAGTTCCCTCCTGCAAACAAAGCCAAGATCAACAAAAACAGAATGTAATGTTGAAAACGAAATTATCAAATGGAAAGATAACAATGAACAGATAATAGTGAAAACAGATATGATCGTTCAAACTGTAAAGCTCTTCAGCTATTCAGACAAATCGACTTCAAAAACGACATGACATGATTTTGTTCTTAATCTCAGGAATTAGAATGCACACCTGCAGCAAGAAGGCTACAACTAAGACAGTTATGAAAAGTGTTGCCGTCTCAAAAAGCTGAAAGTTCAAGTCCATAGGGCGCCCCATAATCCACCCAACAACCACGCAGAAAGGAATCTGCAGTAACGAAAACAAAAAGTAGTATTTATATATGAGAAATAGAAAAGCATGATTCTGAAATATTATTATTAACCTGAATCATTAACAGGCATAAGTCCAGATGACAGTATATAACAAAATATAGACATCGTTTTATAACAAACATGATAATGACATTAAAAACTTTCAGATAAGTACCCACCCCAAACATGGATATCTGCGTTGACGACCCTATTGCCACTCCCAAAGAAATGTCCTGCAGAAAAACTCATGGTTATTGGAACACAAAGTAAGAGAAACCACAAGAAGTCAACAAAGCTTGAGACTTACAAGCTTGTCCTTCATGGCAAACATAATAGCACTGGCATGCTCTGCAGCATTACCCACAATTGGGAGCAAAATAACGCTGATGAATGAAATTGGCATGTTCCATGCTATAGATGCTCCCTACAAAACAACCATCCAACGTCAAAGCTCATTAATCATATATATAAATGCATGACAACGAGTTGCCAAACTTCCACCATACTTCGATCCCACTGAATTTTTTTTTCCCACTGAAATATTTTTGAAAGATTAATTTCCCATGACAACTTTTGAAAGTTAATCACTTGCAATCTGCAAAGCAACAACTACTCACATTGACCAATAACAAGTATAAAAGGCAGCAGAGAGGGGGAAAATTGAAACGTTATTAAGATGTATAATCTAAAAAGCCCAAGAACAAAATCTTCAGCTTACCTCTATCGCATTAACCAAATATTCGGATACGATTGAGATCCAAGCAGTCATTACTGATAGCCAAACTATTGATTCCCATTTGGAGATCTCAGGAGCTTCATCGTCATCTGCGTTCTCTTCATTCTGAATCCCTTCCTGTGTTCATACAGTACATACCACCAAAAAATTCATATGGTGCAAAAACAGAGTCACAATTTCTAAGCCGAATGATGAAATAAGACTCAAATTAAAACATGAACATACTAATAACAACTATGAGGATGAAAAAATTAAAAGGAAATTATTTACGCACAAAAAGAAAAAAAGAACTCAGCTAACCTCATTTAAAGGCACATATTGATTATGCCGACTCTTTAACTGGAAGAAAAGAAAAGCAGCATATGCCAGGAGCATGACACAGCTGCTAAATCTTGAAAGTGCCAACTCTGACTTCCCAAAATGAACCTCAGTGTGAGTGTAGTGCAAGACAGCTGGAAAAAGTAGGCCCATGACTGCCATTAGCAGCAAGCCAGAGTTCACAACAGCAGTTGCCTGCCCAATATACATAAGCTTCAGAATGAAAGATAAAGGAGCTGGAAATTCTAGAGGAAAGAAGAGAGCCGATATATTTACCTTGTTAAACACCTGTTCTTTCTCTTGAAAAACAAGTCCACCACTGAAGAATGCACAACCAAGCACCAGCAACATGTTTGACAGAATAGAGCCTAATAACGACTGCTGAACAACGCGTAACATTCCACGTTTCAGTGCATAAATTGATATAATCAGTTCTGTTGCATTTCCAAAAGTAGCATTTAAAAGACCCCCAACTGCAAGTTCCAATTTGATATATCAAAAACTGAGCCTAGAAGGAAAAGTTGTCACCGACCATTTTATAAGACAATAGTCACAATACACTAAATCAGTAATCATACAAGACTAAATACTCGATGCTTCTGGCCCAAGTATCAATGTGAGTTTGACAATCACCATAGCACACGACAGTTTTTATAACAGAAGGCAAATACAACTATGTAAAGTGTATATATATATATATAGGGAATTGTTATTGGCACTCCAAAATTCTCATTCTACACTCCAAACTTTCTATATTTGGAAAGAAAAATACACTTGTGAGTCGTGTAGAATGAGATTTTTGGAGTGCTAATAACACTTCCCTATATATATATATATATGCGCTTTACTAATATAATAATAAGGCCCTTCCACTGAGCGAAGCTTCGCCCTTCTCGAGCCTACTTAAATAGCTTACGCTTACCAAGCTTACACACACACACATATATATTATCTATGCTTGCTCATATAAAAGTGGAGAATTTCATAATAGCCTTCCGGCACCTTAATTAATATCCTACATAAAGCTGAATTCCTTCAGAAAAATGAAAGCAAGGAGGTAACCAGACTATGAAAAAGACATGCATCTCTTTATTACATAGAAATACATATATTGCAGATTTCAACCCATATTTAAAATGTGGCTGGAAATAATAAGATAAAGATCCTTTCCTCATCAAGTATGCAACCTCGATAATTTTTTTAAAATTTTCAGCAAGATAACTTTTGTTTTCTTTTTCTGAAATTCTCAGCAATATCAAGCAAAGTCAAACTCTAGTATAGAAATTGAGCAATTTGATTCAATGAACCAAAAAGGATTAAGAGGTAGATTGCACCAAAAAAAAAACAAGAATACATTACCAGTAGCTCCAGTATAGAATGCCAGCTGCCTATAAAAGCAAAGATGAGGTTGACATAGCTTCTCAAAAATTCAAGTTAGTAGGATATAGAAAGAAGAGAGGGAATATAGTACTTACTCGGTAGCATAACCCAAACGCTCAGCTAAAGGTGTTATACCCAACAAGCTCAAAACAAAGACCCAACCCTGTAATTCACATCCATAAATTAGATACAAAATTGAGCGGTGTAATGAGCCAGGAAGGGGGAGTTGCAACTCACATTATGGCCAGTTAGCTTAGCGACAAGTATCGCTAGCGGCCCAAAAGGCATAAGCAAGTTGAGTTTAGTTGAGAAAACAACAGTCTTTATGCTTCTATAAACAATAGTCCTCCACACTTTATCACCGCTAGCTTGTGAACCTCCTGAAAACGAACATTCTCCCACTGCTTCAATAGAACGTATCTTTTGAGCCTCTGTCTTTGGAGTAAAAAGACTCTCATCCTCAAACTCATGTATTGGTCCGTTACCCAGTGATTCCATCTGTTACAAGAAACACCATAACATTCAAAACCATCACTTCAAAAGCTTATTCCCAGTGCTTATGCCGAAATAACATTACATTAGTTCTTTTAAGCAACACCTCGGAAAAAGAAATAATACATAAACGGTAATGAAATTCTATAATTGGACTGCTGCAGGACAAATTTTTAGTCATCAGAGAAAGAAAATAAACTCACTTCAAGTTGAGACTGGATTCCAGGCTCATAATTCATCGTCTTTTATTAAATACGCAATGATTCATCCACACGAAGAAAATGGCATCCATGCACCAAGTTCTTAGTGAGCATTTCTCAAATATGAGACAAGATGTTTCAAAATGTTGGAGCCAAGCTTGATATGCTGCAAACAATTGAACAATAAAAAAAAAAACTGAAACTTACCTCATCAACACAATTAAATCCCTAAAACAATAACTCAAAAATGGTTACGAAAATCGCCACAAATCAAACTTTAAAGTTTGTTCCTTCCACATTGAAACTGTATTCTCAATCCCAATGTTCCAATTACACGACTCCGTTTCATCCGTATAACAACAGAAAACGCGGAAACAAAAACTGGGTTGCAATCAAAATACGAACTTTCACTGCGTTTTTAAAGAAACCCAATAAAATTCTCAGGATTAACAAAAAAAATGCTCAAAACGAAAGTTGGGTAGGAATCAAAACACGAAATTTTAACTCGGTTTTCAAAGAAACCCAATAAAATTCCCAGAACTAACACGAAAAAATGCTGAAACAGAAACTGGGTTGAAATCAAAACACGAAATTGAAACTGGGTTTCTACAGAATTCAAACAAAAGCATCAAGACTCAAATGGGAATCTGAGTAAAGGAGTAACTTTAATCTTGCCAAATTCAAGCAATCCCATGAACAAATACAGAAGAAAAAGAAATTAACAAAAAAAAGAAATAAGAAAGTAATACCTAGCAAATCAATCCAAATCTCCGAGTCGCTGTTTTTCTTCTTTGATTATATTTTTGCGTTTTTTCTTCCTCCTTGTGGGTGGACTAATTGAAAGATTGGACCTTGATGCTTCTCTTGAATTTTCACCAAACTGTTTCGTGAAGCACAACTTTGGTTACGCCAGCGCAACGTCCCCGCAACCGCGTCGATAAAATAGTATTTATCAAATATGTCAAATATTAGATCTAATTTCAAAAATGTTAATTTTTATAAAAATTTTCAAATATATCCAAAATATCACTTAAATAGATACAAGCACCCTTAATTCATACAAATAACTAGTTGTTGATAAAAAGATTCTTGTGCGATAATCAAGTGGTTCTTTAACTAATTTTTCTAACATGCACCCGAAGAATTTATTCCGTTAACCTTAAAATATGTTTTTTGCACTTTCTAAGAACACGACAAATCTCTTGATTCACTACCACAGTCAATGATAACCTTCAAAATAGAATCCGGACATGGACAACACCCTTAATATTGCAAAAGTGGAAAATTAAATACGAAGCACATATAATCCAAAGGAAAATTGAGATAAATAATGTTACAAAAATTGATAGTTCATTTTTCCATAAATATTCAATCGAAGGAAGAAACTACAAAAGCAAAGAGAAAACGTAGACGAGGAAAAGTGTAAAAAATTAACCATCTACACTCATCTTCGTTTAGGCGTGCACAATTCTTCACCAACAGTTGATGCCTTCACTAGGTCTCCTCCAATTTTAAGGTTTAGTTGTGAGAACTCTTCATCTAATAGGGTTTTGGTTTTTTTAATTTATTAGGTTTAAAGCTTAAGGGTATTTGTGTCTATTTAAGTGATATTTTGGATATATTTGAAATTTTTATAAAAACTAACTTTTTTGAAATTAGGGGCTAATATTTGATAAATACTCTCGATAAAACAACCTAGTGGTTTTGGACAAAACGCCGCGTCGTTTGTATACAGTTAACTCGTTAACTTGTGCTTGTTCTAAAAAATACTTAAAAGTGCGTTTAGCACTCAAAATCAATTTCACCAAAAGTACTTTCAATCATTTTAAAAGCACTTTCAAACGAACCCTAATAAATGTTATGTTACGTATTCAGAATGATATTTCTCATTTAAAAAAAGAGAAAAAGAAAAGGTAGTATACATACCTCTCTCATGCTGTTTAAAATTTGAGTATACTAAATTTTTTATACACTATGTTTGGATGAGGGAAATAAATATGGAATTTTGGTAAAAGTCAGAATTTATAAATTAACAGACACCAATTATCTTGTTTGAATTCATAAACATAGAAATTTAGAACCGCGTGGAAAAAAAACTTGGAATTTGGGACCTCCAAACCCCAATTTCAAATTTCATATAAATAGGTGTCATTTCTCAATTTCTATGATTAAGAATTTAAAAATAACAAATTTCATATTCAATTCCATTGTTCTATTAGGTTAACCAAACAAGAAAATTTACAATTCTAGAAAATAAAATCTTGTCATTTGAATTTTTGTCATTTTTAAATTCCTTAATAATCTTAAATTTCTTCACCCAAACATAGTGTTAGTGACATTTTTTCCTTGAATATTTGATTAGGTGGGCTAGTCTCCTAACTTACGGGCTACCCATAATAATATGATTCAATTTCGCATTTGATAAGAATCGAACTTAAGACTTCTCACTCACAAATAAAAAGGAATACTACTAGACCGTAGTACTAAGTGATTTATTAATTGTTTTCGTTGCATCAAAACACACCAATAATGCACGAGTATATGTTGCAAGTACGATCAATGACAAGATGAGTTACATGAAGTTATTAGTAAATGACAAGATGAGTGACATGTTGTTAACGAAAGATGTGTGGAGTGTTAGGCGTTAACTAGAAATTTTACACAATGCTATCAATGTATGCATGGAGGACAGTAGGATAAAATATAGAAAAGATGGAAGAGAGAAAAATGTAGGAGATACTGATTTATTTTTTCCATTTTAATTAGTTAATTTAAGTATATATTCAACATCAAAATTAATATGAGTGGTGGATATTCTTGATCGAAGGCACAAAAAATAATAATATTTATACACGATGATACAAGTTCGACTTCCATCTAACTTCCTTCTTAATATTTAACAACTTAACCCACCACTAATAACTAATATGATTGATTAATTAAAATCTTCTTTCCCCCAGAACTTTAAGAGATTTGGGCATACACGGTTGGCAAATAAGTATGACCATCTTCAACCATATATACGGATAATACTATTTTTTTATTGGGAATAAGCCTATTTCTCCTTTGCGAATAATTATGTAATTATACAAATTTTATAATTAAAATCGTTTAATTTTTTTAACCTTCATTTAGAGGTTATGATAAAACAAATTCACGGCATAAATATCAAATAATATATTCATACGGTGAACGGTTCATTCTTTGATATGCTTATATGATAAACTCCAATGTAAATAAAATATGAGAGTTTTTTAATTGAAAATTAATACGAAAATTTATTTTAAATCATTTATACGTTAATTGTAAATAATAAAATGTGCACCCTTCGTTTTGAATGAATTTTTGTAGAGTGATATCCAAATAAAAATTAATAAATTTGACGGTTTTGATCCCTCTCATCGATTCATCTCATGAAAATATTTAAACCGTAACCAATACATTGTGTATTGGTTACACCAAATGATGTAGTTGTAAATGATTGAATTATTAATAATTATCGATTAACGTGTTTTTTTTATTGATAAAACATCATTTAATTTGTAAATTAGTTTAAAATTTTGATGTCTGACATTATCCAAAATAAAAACGGCAAAGTACTTCCCCAAACCCTAAACACAAAACATTATACCTTATGCTTAACTTTGCTGCGTGATGTAGTTACCTTATTAAGTTTCTCTCTTCTTCCTCATCCAATGTATGCGAAAATAGCTTTCTACAGTAGATCCTTTACTTTGACTAATTGCTCCAAATAAAAGAGTGAATAACATTACTAAATATAAGGAATTTAAATTGCAAACGTTTGCTAGGTTGGTTTGGCCTGCCCACTGCCCTTCCACTTGCAGTCAGAATTTCCCACCGTATGGAAAATATATAGTTTTGATCCTCTTGTTATAAGACAAACAAATTAACTTAATTTATTGATACAGAAAAGGCTACATCATACAAAAAGATAGAGGCCAGGGAAAGATAGACCATAGAGTGTGCAATGCACCGCAGCTATATATATCTTCTGAATACAAAGTTTCAGCCTCTACCACTAATCCTGCCATCTTGTTCAGTCCCATGCTGCAAAAACCTAGCCCAATCTTTTCCTTTATCCTTCAATCTCTCTACCATACCACCACCGTCTCCGCCGCCAAATCCCAAAAGCCTTATACCTGCAAGCTCCTGAAAAATCCACCCTAGAGTAGTCATCCCTGTAAAAACCAGGGCAGCAGCCACAGCAAACCCAGCCAAGGCTCCGACAAACACAAACCCAGCAAAAAACAGAAGTGGGCTGAAAATAAGCAGAAGCGGCGAGCTCAAAACCAGCAGCGTCACCGACGCCAAGAAGCTGAACCCCATCAACCCCACAAGCGGCCCTCCGATTGCTAAGCCAGTGAAAGCAGCCAAAAGCACTTTTGTGCCTGAGGTCTGCAGCTGCTGTCCATACTGAATCTCCATTGTGCTCTGCTTTATATATGCTTCGTGAAATGAAGATCCGTATAATTTTCGACTCTCTGGGTTTTTTGAAGTGGGAAAAGTTAGGGTTTTATATTGAGGTGGTGGAGCTGGGTTTTGCTTACGTGTAGGTTTTGATATCTGTTGTTATGTGGCAACTGCTGGAGTTCATGTGGGACACGTGGTAGTGGAAGACGCGACACGTAGTTTTGCATGGATGGCTTTGCAGGCGATTACTGTAGTACCAACAACAAAAGAAGAAGAATCCAATGGATGTTTTGCCTCGTATCCAAAAGAAAATGGATATCCTTAAGTTGTTACGTACAAAATTGAAGTACAAAGATGTAGAAGGTTTTTGTGCAGTTGTCGATCGATGTGTCGGTGAAACACTGATCGTCTTCTATTGACAAAGGATAAGTAATTAATCTGGCAATACGTCTTTTAACAAAACTCGAACGTCCTCTTCACAGAAAGAACAGAAAGTGATCAATTAGATTGTGCCTGTAATTTGAGGTAATTAACGAGAATGCCGGTATAACTTGCACATACTTAACTTAATATGCACACATAAAATCGGTTAATTATTCTATACCTTTTATGTATTGCAGGATCTTCTAATTGCCATTAATCGACGGCAAATGTCGTGAAAAAGGTAGTGTACCCAGAAGGGGTGTTTCTGACGTGAGCATGTCAAGGATCATTCAACGATAGGCAAACCCCTTTACCCTGCGATGGGTATGCCTCATTCCACTGCGATGGATAAAGCAGTATCGTGATCCGATATGAAACATGCTATGAAGGGATAAAAAATTAATAGTGAATTTGATAAAAGTACTTTGGTATAACTTATTTATTTTCAAAAAAATATCGAAAATACCATGTTTTTAGACCATATATATATATATATACACACATATATATATATATATATATACATATATTCTAAACTTTATGAATGTTGATGGTTGAACACTTTATTTAATAATTTAAAAAAAAATCTAATAATCAATCATCACATGTAGTCTAGAAAATAATGTTCAAATGTCGTCTCTCTTCTTTTTAATCAAGTCACTCTACTAACACTATCAATGACCATCTGTAGTCAGTAACGAGTCTTGAAGTCAAGGGGTAAAGAGCTACACGTTTTTCATTGAACACATATCAATACATTATGTGTCATAATATAAATGGACATAATTTTTTTTTTCAAATCACCTTCCACTTGTATCATAACACGTAGTATACGGACCTTGTTCCAGGTATACTAAAAAATTTCTCATGTTATTTGTGTTAAGCATCTCGAGAATCTCATGTTGGCCATGTGAATATTCGCCCCGGATGTCATTGTTCCTAGTTATGTTTTTTTAATTTCGGGATTTTATTTTATTTTATTTTCGTTGAAATCGAAAATCCTAGTTTGATTTGTTTAAGGCTTGATTTGGCCTTTCTTTAATTTTCAAAGAATTATGTTGGTTTAGTGGGCCAAATCTTGTACTTTTTGCATAGAGCTCGATTTCACAAGTGTTGAGGCGAAATCGTTCATCAATCGAATTTGAAACAAAGAAGTTACGAGTTTTGAAAGCGAAGGACATTTTAGTCTTTTAAACTTATATAAATAGTAAATTTCTATTTTTGGAAACTGACATAAATAGAAAGTTTCCATTTCTAGAAACCCATCTCAGATTTCGCTCCCTCCCCTAAAGAATAAATTGTTTAGGACAATTAGGGTCCGTTCGGTAAAGTTTTACAAAATGATTTTTGGAAAACTGTTTTGTAAAACAAAAATGACAAATAAGATTTTGAATTTTTTTGTGATTTGAGAATGCATCTGACATTTTAGCCCGAGAATGATTTTCAGAGAATGAAATTAATATAGAAAATGTGTCTAGTACCAAATGTCATAAAAAATATATACAAATTTATGTTTGCTAGTAATGGTGGTGGTGGTGGAAATGATGGTGTGGCTGAGACGAGAGTGGTGTTGGTAGAAATGGTGATTGGAGTAGTGATGGTAATAGTGAGAATAACAGGAATCGAAGTGAAAATTTGGAATTGTGATTCAAATCCGAATGGATTCTCCCCCATCCCAACTTGCCATTTGGAGCCTTGAATGATAACCTCCCTTGAAGCACAAATGCTCTTTCAAACAAATGAGGAATTCGAATTTACTGAGGCCTCAAGGAAAGAGGACTGAGGGTAGTACTTTGCCATGAGAACAGTGGAAATAAGGGATTGAGGCTCTTGGATTTATTTCCAGCCTTGTTTAGCAAGTAATCCCATGTTGAAAGCATAAAGGTTGAGAAAACCCAGACGCCCTGCGGGTTTAGGGCAGGAGAGATTATGCCAAGCAAGTCAATGTATCTTTCTTGAGCCATCCGACTCGTTCCACCAAAAGGAAAATAACTCATGCATCGTGCAGAGGGGAATGAAGAGAATGGAATACGCCACCATTTTAGCAAGCAATTCTCTTCCGACAACCTAGAGCTTTCTGTTCACTTGTAATTAGTCTCGTTTGGTTAATCCAATGTCGAAACTCGAAGAGTAATTTGAGCATCGAATCCAACTTAATCGAGAAATCAAAGTAATGAGAGATTCGAAAACGTTATCGTTGAAACCCTCTCGCACAAGTTTCGGCCTCCTTAATTAATTAACATTGCATCTCTTAATTTCTGGTATTGGCCTACCTACTGACCAGGTCTCATTCCTTCTAACTACAGAAAAACGAAGCGTGTAGTTCTGAACTTATGAGCTTATAAAATGAATTCCAAGTGTGACATGAGCTGTACTTTACGCACATATGACGTTGCACCACGTATATAATTCTAGTGATGAGTTGCCACGACATATCCACGTACTCACGCGTATATCCAAGAGTAATTTATGTGGCATTGTCAAGTGAAGTCTTTATCAATAATACACTGTCCTGTGAAGAAAAGCATATACATGACAACATATATTATTGAACAAAATACATCACGTGGCAATGAATTCGTTTCATGTAAGTCATTTTCCATGTATCATAGTTCAATTACCAAATCTCACAATTTGTTTTCAAATGATCTGGTGGAACCCAATTGCTTGCCACGTTGTAGGGTTCACATGACCTCGAGCTATTGGATAACTTGGAAAGAGATCCTCTCCAGATCTCTTCCATCAAAACCTACCAATCAATTAATTCGGACCCTTGAAATCTGATCCAACGGCTAAAATCATTATAACTTTTAAAAGGGCCCCTTGTTTTTAGCCGTTGGATCAAATTTCAAGGACCCTGATTAATTAATTGGTGGACTTTGGTGGAAGAGATCCGGAAATGATCTCTTTCCGGATAACTTGCCTCTTCTAATTTCCTCAGTTTTTTTTTTCTCTTTGAATTCAAAATTGGAAAAACTTGCTTTGCATGCGAAGCAGGGAAGTCACGTAATTTTTTTTTTTTTTTTTTTTAAGAAAAAGGAGATAATTGGTGGTAAGTCACAGTTGTTATCTACTCATTCTAAGGGTCGAAAAGACTTACAGAGGCATTTTAGTTTTTTCCTGGTAACAAGTCTGGCTTTCATACCAACAACAGAGTTCAAACCCGAGATTTTTAATTTTTAATTTAAAGAAAGTATCGCAATCCGTCATTTACCGCTAAGCTACCAAGTTGTGGGAAGTCACGTAATTGGGAATACCATGATAATGGAGTAGATTTTAGTTTCAGAAGATAATCAAGTGCTTCTCTTCTCCTGTGCACGGCACTAACATGGATCAATAGATTCAATACCCTTGATCTTTGTGGGCCCGTTTCCAACTATTTTAATCAATCATTAACAAATCTAGGACCGGAAACAAAGAGGGTTAGTGTCACAGGGAAAATTAAGCACCCTTGTGTATTTTCTCACTCGGATTTGGGGCTTCCCACGCTCTTTCTTTCAGAACCCCATCTAACTATTGACAAAAAAGAGGACCAAAAACCGATTCCTTTGCCTTTCCTCACCTTGGTTTCTAGTCACGATAAATATACTGTAATGACATTCAACGATTATATTTGATCAAATTAATTAGATCTGTGTTGTTTCCCTAGTACTCAAGTTCAAACACCTTACATTATAATTTAGATTAAATTAAAATATACCCGAATAATAAAAACGCATCACTTTGAAACCAATATTACTCAGAATACCTTCAAAATCGCCAATCAGAAGAAATAATTGACTTATATTATATTAGTTATATTAATATTATACTCATAAGTATAAACTCATCAATTATCCAAATTAAAAGATGTTTAAATTGTTGTCACACCTCAAACTTTATCTTTTTCTTTCTTCAAACCCCTCAAAACGCTCATACAACACAGTCTGATTCTGACGGCCAATAATCGAAAAACTGATGGGTTTGTCTTTTGTGGTGTGGTTTTCTGTGGCTCTAATTTTTGTTCGGCATATATTAAATTTAGGGCAATGCTATGTACATTAAATTTATTGAAAAAAAAATCTTATAAACTAAATAACATGAAAGATAAATATTATATTATTATTTGAGTATTGATTGATATGTTTATTTATATTAATAATATATCATTTAGTTTGTAAATTTAGTCAACCTAACACTACTTTTATTTTTTAACAATAAAATTAAAAAAATTAAATTTATAAATACGTGTCAGTTAATAACTCACATAAACGCCACACTCTTGAAAGCAAAAGATTTGATCTTGATGGGTTCACATGCATTCGCTGTATGTAGTATAGGGTCCAATGAAAAGGCTAACTTTTATGTCAGTCGAAAACATGGAAATTGACACCAATAATACAACTCGATCTCAATGATTTAATATGCTTCCAAAAAAAATGAGAAATTATTATTAGTATTCTAAAAATCTAATTTGATATTTTAAATTTTTTATAATTATAAAGAAAAATACAGTTATAAAAAATGTAGAATGTGATTTTTAAATTGTTAATAATAATTTTCAAAAAATATATTATTTAATTACATGACAGCATGGTACATGGAACGAATCC